GCCACCACTTGATAGTTTTAATATTCAATAAGATTCTCATGAAGAAACATTCTTTATTTGTTATAATACTTGACCTTGAGGTTATTAGGTAGTGCTGAGTCAAGTACCAAGCCATCAACCACAATGTTGAAATTCTCAATACATGTGACTTCTTGGAAAGTGATATGAGATTCTGATAATCTATTTTCATTCAAAACTTTAAGGCTAAAATTTTCATCATCTAGTTTGTTATTATTTTTATGTGGACTTGATAATGATATGCTAGCATCATATATCATTTCCTCCCATTTGGAACACTTTCTTGAAGAACATCTTCAAAGATAAGATTGTAAAAAGCAATTAGAAATTAAACATGGGAATGTCAACATAAACAAAGAAATGATAATTCTAGGAAACTTACTAGAATCATGTTGATTCATCGGAATGAAATTAAAAATTTTCCCAAAATCCTAAAGGGATCCATTGGCTTTGCTTAATCGAATTAAAGAGATAGAATGTACTAATTTGATTAAGAGATCCAATCTTCCAATCTCTATTTACCAACTCAAATCATAGGTGTTGCTCCTTGAATGAACACCATCTATTGATATCTACATAAACTGAACTAGCACCTTATCTTGAACTACAACTAGTCCTTCTATCCAAATGGCTGCATCTATTTTTATTTTGTAACTTAAAAGAAAAATGTCTTCTACTTTTCTCTCAATTTTTTTTCTCTTTGTAGGAGGTTTTTCAAGGTTTCATGAACTCAAAAACCCTAACCCCCTTATCTATATAAAGGTTAGGCTCTTAGATCTCATTAAAAAGCCCTAATTTTGCTTAAATCACATATTTAAATTAAATAATATTTTTATATGAATTTTATATATTAAAGATATAAAATTTGTCCGCCACCAAGGGATATGACAATTATACTCTTATAAGTATTTGTTTAAAAAAATTATTTATATTATATATACATTAATTTTCATCCATCAATATCTTTATTAGGATTGTATCATTTTATTTAGGATATTCATTTTGATTTGTGAACTCTTTCAAAGATATCATATTTTAAAATAAATCTTTTAAAGATTTTAATTCCTAAATTAAACTTAATATTATGATTCTCAATAATAATAAAAGTATATTATTTCACTATAAATAATATTATATTCTTCTAATTTAAATTAGAAGATCTTTTAGATTTATTTTATTTAAAAGAACAGAAAACTTTTTAAATTAAATGAGGACATTAACATGTTATATTCATTAGCCCATTCTTGTGTGCAACCCCTATAAGCTCATATAATATTAACAGTGAATCTAAAATACTCTTTTGGCCCACAATTCATGAGCAGTCTCTAACTAGTAAGACTTTATGATTACCCAAATTATATGATGATCTGTGATCGATAAAACCTATCTTACAACTCTATCAATTCATTTTTTTCATACTTTATCCAGATCAAACATGAAATATGAAGATGTCACTCTCATATTGCTTAACCATACTTTCATCATCTCCAAATAAATTGACCAAGCAAAAGAAACTCATCTCATTTGAGCACGGCTATGCATTTCTTAGTCTTATTCATTAAGAGGTTTAGAGATATCTCTCTTGTAATGAAAGGAAAAAAAATTCCATCTTGATCATTCATTTTTCTCCACATAGATTCCACAATGCTCAATTGCAATATTTATGATCCCTCTGTTAAAAGTAACTTTTAATCATGTCAAAACATTGTGTTTTTCATATAAGAATCTATGATAATATCAAGTCTAAGGGCTTAGTAACACAGTTGTAATGAGATATACTTATAACTCAATTAATGTAACTTTCTCATGATACGTTGGTCTAGCACTTTGGTCTATAATAAGTGCCTATGGTTTTGATGTACATCTACATACATGATCATCACATAATAATTAATTAAAATCATACTAATTTTAATTAATAATTATTCCCATAATAATAATTGATTGGGGACATTTAGAATAATTCTTTAATTATTCATGGATTTTTATTTATAATAAAAACATGCAAAACAATATAATAAAATATTTAATAAATTTCACTTTATAAAATCAAATCATACTATCATGTCTCCATTCAATTGATTGGCTTAAGGCACAATCTCCAACATATAATAGTATTAATGCTCCTGTTCTCAAGCTCAAATGAATTTGAAAATTCTTTCAAAACACATTTCTCCATATTAATCCAAACGTTGCGCCTAGATGATGAGCACCAGATTCAACATGCAATTCCACGATGATATTTTGGTTTGCCAATAAAGAGATTACTTTTGCATCATGAGAATCGAAATGGGAAACTGCTGCCCGTGAGAGGATCTGGGAGACTTTTTTTTTTTTTTCCCAATCTTCTTTTATTATTTGAAGGGTAATTTTATCTTTTTTATGTGTGTTAGAAATAACACTCAAGTCCCTTGAGATCTCTTAATTATAATTCAGCAAATTCAGGGGACTAATTTAAGATAAACTTGCTTAGTGACACTTAAATATGATTTTCTCAATAAATGTGATTTTCTCAATTTTTTTATCGTAACTTTTTAACATTATTCTAATAATCCTAATTAATCTTATTATTTATATTTTTAGTTTGCTCTCTAATTAAATGGAAGTAACTTCTTGTGTCATGTTGTTGAACTCTATTTGAAAATACTGAATTGAAATAAGATTGAATATAAGTCATTTTAATTTTTTTCACAGTTTGTAAATATTGTATATCTTATCAAAGCCTTATTCTTATTTCTTAGTGTTTATGATGAACAACAAATTTCAAGCATGCTAAAGATATTGAGTCTCGATTGATAACAAAAATGGTCCCGAACTTTCTTATCTTCATTGAGATGTAAAAAGATATAAGATTTTGGTAGAACAAATATTTGATTTTATTAAAATACGAAAAGTTACAAGTTTAAACTGAAAAATTAACTGATAAACTAAAGGCTAAAAAGTGTAAAATGTGAGTCTTTGATTGAGTGTTGACTATCTTTTTTCTGTGTTTTTATCTTCTATTTAGTGTCCAAATAGTAGTAGCATTCCCCTTAATACCTAGCACGTTTTGTCGAGGAATCAGAGATCTCGCAAAACTCATGGCACGATCTTCATTTCGAGTTCTCATTTTTGGTAATTAGCCCGCTCACCGAGATACTTTGGCACGATATCGACGGATTTTGAAATTACTCGAGATTGTGTCTTCTTGTGCCAACAGTTCAATGTTTGTAACTGGTAGGATTTCGACATATTTATTTTATCGTGGCTTTTATTGGGCTTTGGGGCCGGCTTTTTTGTTTATATCAGGCCTGACTCTTTAGTTATTCAGCCCAATTAGCCTTGTGACCTATCTGAGCGACGTTTTATATTTTAGCTCAAACACTTAGTATATTATTGTATTTCTTATGTTTTGCAAAGTTACTTTACAATATTCATTTATCATATTCCTTTATAACCATGACAAAAAATATGAAATATTCATGAGATCAATAAGATGAGAAACTTCTCGACCGTGCAACTCAGGGGATCACTTTTATTTTACTTTTAAATATAGACAAAATATTTCTAAATACTAACATGTTAATTTTAATTTTTTTAAATCACAATTATTAACACAAAAATCATTATTTTAGACTAATAACATTAGGATTAGAGGAGTGAAATGGTACTTTATAAAATTAAAAGATAAAATTAAAATATTATATAAAATTAGAAATAAAAAGTATACTTTTACTGTAAAGAATTCTTAAATTAAGATCTATCAATCAAATATTTAAATTAAATTTAATAAATCAATACTTGAAATTGTTTTTTTACCATTTAAATTTACAATATCTAAAATCTTTGTGAGGAAAACTAACAGGAGTAAGAAGATTGAAATTATACTTTATAAAATTAAAAAATTAAGTAAAATTATATATATATATATATATATTGGTAAAAAGGTAAATATATTAATAAAATGGAAAAAACAAATTGAGTGCTTCTCTCAGTCTTCAAGTTTTTGAAGCGACGGAGAAGTTTTGCCAAAATGGCAGCATCCCATAGCATTGCTACTGACTGTGGCAAATTTGATTGTTAGAGCATTAAATATGTATTTATGTCATAATAATAAAATATACTCCATCTATTTAAAAATATAAGACATTTTTTAAAGAGTTAAATATTAAAAATATAAAATATTTTTAATTTTTTAAAATGTAATCATTGTCTTTTTTTCAAAAGTGTTTTTATTAATGAATAACTTTATATTTATTGTAAAGTGTTTAATAGAAATAAATAAAAAAAAATAAAATTAGTTTAAAAATAAATAATTATTTTATTAAGGAATGAAATTTAATTTAAAATATTTTATATTTTTAAATAAAAAAAATACAAAACATAGGAAAAGATCATCACCCAAGGTAGCAGGGGACCCTTTTCATCATCTTCCCCTTCTCTTTTCTTAACATTTTGCAATTTAATATTTTATAGTATTGATTTTCACTGAAACTGTAAACGACTTAAATTAAATTTTAATAATTTCAATTTAATAATTTAATATTTTTTATGCTTTAATATTTTGATAATAATTTTATAAGAAATTAAATTTAAATTGTAAAAATTTTAATGTAATGATTAAAAATAGTTAAAAAAAAAAAAAAAAGAGGCCTAAAGCAAGATATTAAAAACTGGATCATTAAATCAATTAAAGTATTAATTTGAAGATCAATAGTCAAACTTATATTTAAACCATAATTAAACTAATTACATACAAAAGATATGGATGTATGCATTAATTTAAAGATTAATAGTTAAAATTATATTTTAACCATAATCAAACGGGTCAGATACAAAAGATTTCACTTGACCTAGTTTAATAGTTTTCCAATGATTGAGATCCGCATGTGTAAAAATGTGTCTCGTGTGTGTGTGTAGTGTGTAAGCCTGGCGGGCGCAGATATTTTAGAGGAAGTTGTCCAGGTGTCCATATACAGCCCACTCAAACATGCTTTCGAGCTCCACCACCACGAGAAACCCATCCTCAAACCTCTGTCTTTCCCTTCCTCCACCTCACTTCACTCTCGCTAAACCACATTCAAACAATTATCTATTCAAATGCTTCAATCCTTCGCACCATTTTTGTGATATTAATTTCGTTTTAAGCTTCGTTTCCTAAGTAGCATTGTATCGGAGTGTCTCGTTCATTTCCGTCGACAATGGCTTGTGCATTGCAAGCAACATTGGCGGCCAACAGCTGCGCGTTTTCTAATCGTAGATTCTTCATGAAACATCAGAGAGCCAGTAAGCGAAGTATCGGCTTGTTCACAGTGAGAGCTTCCTCTGACGATGATGACTGCAATGAGGAAGAATGCGCCCCCGAAAAGGAAGTGAGTTCAATTTTTTTTTTCCTTTGTTTTTTGCTTGTTCTGATGAATGTAGAGACGATCTCACCATTTTATTAGTTTTTTGGGTTCTCTGGTTATTGGTTGTTTTTCACTGGTGCATACCAGAGAAAATGCGTGTGGGGATTTTGTTAGAATACAGACATCCACACGTGGGATGGTTTAATTGTAGATAAACTAAGATGCCAATGAACCTGTAATGAAAAGTTGAAGAACCTGTAATGAAAAGTTGAAGTGTACGTAATCTTTTTATGGGACCTTTTACCAGAGAAAATACTTGTTGGGTTTTAGCACCAGAGAGAATTCTTGCAGGGATTACCGTAGTTAGATATGTTCATATTCGACAATTTTCTGGTTGATATATTCGCTGATTTGATTATGGGTTTTGCTAATAAACTTATAATGAAGCTTTGAAATTTTACTTAATCTTGTTTTTGACCCGCTTTTCTAGGTATTTTTATATTCAACAGATAATGCCTGTAGGAATGAATTATCATGGCTAAGTATGTTTGTTTTTGTTTATCCAATTCATTAAGGTTTAAATGTTATTCAAATCGACAGGAAGCTTTGAAATTGACTTTGATTTTGTTTAGGAACTCTTTATCTGGGTAGCATACTCTGATGTAGTAGTTTAAGAGGGCGAATGCTATCATTATTTGTTGTCAAGACAGGCATGACAGGTTAATTTGATGTAAATCGTGTCTGATTTATGCTGGTCATGCTCTTTCACGTTGTCCTTGTGAGGTTCATTTGCTCTTAATAGTGTTAGGAATATTGCGGACAGGCTTTTAAAAAAAAAAAAATTACCTCAATTATCATTCCTTATGGAAACAATGTAAATATGTTTGTTCCTTTTTACGTGCTAATATAGACATAAGCCGACAGTTGATAATTGATGTGCACCCACATGATCAATTGAAGTATTCTGAGCAGCTTAAGTATAATGACGAGCAATAGGAAGCATAATAATTTTTCTAGAAGCTGTATCTCAAAACTGCATTTCTGTGGAAACTACAAAGCATGAAGAGTATAATTAAATTGAATTTTTGTTCACAAACTCACTTTAATAGCGGGTGATATTTTTTAACATTCGGATTTTGTTGAGGATTGTATCTCAAGGAGGAGATAGAGAGCTTCCCAATTGTTAATGGGACATTGTTGAAGTTTCTGAGATTTGTTTATTGATCAGAAAATTCTTTAATTGTTGACAGGCTTAGATACATCCATAAAATTATTAAAGCTTGATCAATTTCAGTTACGCCTATAAGCTTGCACCATGTTCTTCCTATCACTGCGCTGACTTGTGTATAATTGCTTCCTAATCCAGATGGTCTTTCCACTGTCATGAATATTATTCATAATTAAACATAGCAGAAAAAGCTTCATGTTCTCATGGTATTTTCTGTTCATGATTTATAGCAATCTTGATGTGATTGATACAGCTAAACACCTAAAATGAGAAGTCGAAAAGACGAAAACTAATGGGGATTGAGTCTAGTGGAAGGGACTAGTCCCTCACAACATGATGAATCAAAATTCAAATTTTGCTAGGGGAAGTAGGCACATTTAGTTCCCATCATTATTTTGGCCAAGATTGCCTCTAATAGGAGGACACCTGTGATCAATAAAATAAAATAAAATGAGAAGTCAAAAAGGATGATAGCACATCTGTCAATGATGATTCCAGGTTGGGAAGATCAGTGTGGAGTGGTTAGCGGGGGATCGGACCAAAGTGGTGGGTACATTTCCACCTAAGAAGCGCGGTTGGACAGGTTATGTTGAGAAGGATACTGCTGGACAGACAAACATATATTCAGTTGAGGTCAGTAATTTTGAGTTTTATGTACTCATTAAGGGTTTGCATATTCAATGTTTTATTTTTGTTCGTCAATATATTTCTTCATTAAGCGTTTGGAAAAATAGGATAACTGCATGGGGAACTCTACCGGTGGGTTCTTAAATTCCAAGTAATTTCATGAACTAATTATTTCAAGAAATAAACTACAATGCATGAGTTCTTTTTCAATAATATTCTGAGCCAATTGATACACATAATTGTGTGATATAAAAGGAAACAGAGTGAGGAAGTGAGTGGAATAGATGAATAATGTGTTCCGTACTCATATTTAAATAATGTAATAACAAGAGGCACATGTTTAATAATAATAACAAGAGTATATTAGACACTACAAAAAACATTACTTCTCTCTTTCCTTTCCTACCATGGGACAAAAATGGCTGTGTGATGATGTCATTTGAGAAGAATGTACTCGTTTGATGTCATGTCACCTTCAACATGCACTTCCTGATCCTGGCATATGTTAAGAAATTCTTTTCTTTAACACCGAGATTAAGTGGAAGGTGTGTGAATATATCAGTAACTTCAGCAGGGTTCACCTTTAATTTGACTTGTTTACATGTTTTTTTTTTCTCATTGGTGTAATCTACTTATCTACCTTTGATACACCCACCAATACCTAAGAATTTATCAAATTTTTGTGGGAGTCTGATGTTAATCTGATACATTATTTGATCTTTCCAGCCTGCAGTTTATGTGGCTGAAAGTGCTATAAGTTCTGGAAGTGCTGGTTCTTCCTCAGATGGATCTGAGAACACAGCAGCACTCGCTGCTGGCCTCGCCCTGGTCTCTGTTGCCGCAGCATCATCAATACTGCTACAAGTGGGTAAAAACACACCGGCTCCGGTGCAGGCAGTTGGATACTCAGGACCATCACTGGGTTATTATATCAACAAGTTTAAACCACCAGAGCTTGTTCAGGCTTCAGTACCAAGCCAAACAGAAGAATTACCATCAACAAGCCAGACAGAAGAATTGCCAGCAGCTGCCCAGCTTGAAGGATCTCTCTCAGAAGCTCCCCAAGTTCAGGCTCAGACCTCAAGTGAGAATGTTGTCTCATAGGCTATGGAAATTATTCAACCCCTTTTCTGTAAGAATGCGGATTTAGATATTTTGAAGTTACTTCAATAGGTAGTTCAAAGCTTTGGTTTGGATGGAGAGAGAAGTGAGAAGAAAATAGGGATGAGAAAAGACTTTTTGAGGAGAAATTTCCAAAAATAGTAAATTTTTTACTATAAATTTACTATTTTTAAGAGTTTCCCTCATTTTTTCCTCCCTGTTTTTCTCTCTATCCAAACGAGGGGCAAGGGAAAGAGAGAGGAAAATGTAGTGTGCGCGTTTGCTTCTTGAGTCCAGCAATAAGTGAACGTCACTTATTTACTTTTTATTTCTTAACATTCCCTCAAGTTGTTTTCAGAAGATCTTGAGTCCCCCAAAACACAGTGGTAGGGTTTATTCACTTATTCTGTATCAATAGTATACTCTTCTATACCATGATTCATGTATATTCAAATTACGAAGAGTTATATGACTGTTTGGTATGTGACAACTAATCAGTTCTTGCTAAATGCTAAGTGTATGTGTTTTCTTCATTTAAATTCTGTAAATAGTTGTTTTAATCACACACCTTATTTGAACACCAATGATCAAGCTCAGAGTTTTTGCCTCAAGAATGATTTTTTGATCTAAAGGCTTTTGAGAAAACCAAGAGTTCGGATTCTATTCAACAACCGCAAATTACGAAGTTACACCCTTGTTTGGTTAAAATAAAATATGCATTCCAGAAAATTGTGATACTTATTATATTTTTAAGTTAAATTATACTTTTAGTCTATTAACTTTGTATAAAGTTTTATTTTAGTTTCTTAATTTTATAAAATATTGATTTAGCTTTTAAACTATAATACCATTAGTTTCTTTACAAAAAAAAATTTTACATTGAATTTTTAAATATTAACAAAATATTTTTGAATTTTAACATATTAAGTTTAATTTTTAAAAAATAATGATTGAAATAAAAAAATAAACATTTGAAATTAATATTGTTAAGGTTAAATGATTAAAAAAATTATTTATAAAATTAAGAGATTAAATTAAAATTGTATATAAAGTTACATTATCAAATTAAAAGTATACTTTAGTCGTATTTTTCTTATCATAATTAATTGTTAATAGTAATTTTTTTATTAAAAATAATAAATAATTTTTTCAAATAACTTGAGTAGCGTCTGGATTTATGAATTTAAATTTAAATTTTAAATTAAAAAATAATAATAAAATTCATTTAAATTATATAAATAATAATTTAGTCCTTTAAAATACTATAATTTCACTAAAATTTTTATGGACTTTTCTGTCATTAATGAATTTATACAAATGATCAAATTGCTCTTGTTGAAAATAAAATGATCATAAGTTTTGTTTAAATAATCATAATTTTTTTATATTCACAATAATACAATAGCAAATCACAATTTCATATGTTAAATTTTTAATATTGTTACAAATATTGAAAATAATAAGTAATGATCACATATTTTGTTTAAATAATTAGAACTTTTCTTTTTGTATTTACACAATAGCAAATCACAACTTCGCATGTCAAGTGTTAAAAATAACAAATAATAATTATAAGTTTTATTTAAATAATCACAACTTTACTTCTTATATTTGCAACAATACAACAACAAATTACAGGCTCGCATATCAAATTCCTAAAATTATTACAAGTGTTGGAAATAACAAGTAATGATTACAATTTTTGTTTAAATAATCATAACTTTGGTTCTTATATTTTCAATAATGTAACAACAAATCATAATTTCACATGCCAAATTTCTAATATTGCTACAAGGGCAATTTGATCATTTATATATATTCATTAATGTTAGAAAAGTTTTTAAAAACTTTAATAGAATTATGACATTTTAAGATATTATATTGTCATTTATATAATTTAGGGAGATTTTATTGTCATTTTTTTTTAAATTTTCACTTTAAAATCACACATTTATATGAGTAACAAGAAAAAATTATGTATTTAAAATCATTTATTTGGATAGTGTACAAAAATTTTAAAGGTTGAAGAAAGACAAGTTGAGATTTGAAGCAAAATGAAAAATTGAGGGTTAGAAATTTACTTCTTTTCTTCAATAAGTGAGAAACAAAAATGAGAGATAAGAGGAGATGTGGGAGTAATAGTAATATTAACAGTAAAAATGTGAAAAAAAAAAATGAAAGGGTTAGAATAATTGAAATTAAAATAATAATGATTTAGATGAAATTTAATATTACAAAAAAATTATAATAGAACATAAACTTGGATCTAAATCAATTCCAAATTAATAGATTTTATATATTTAAATAAAAAATTTGGTTTAAATTCAAATTCAAATCCAATTTTTTATGCATCCGGATGCAATATTATGTTGTTTTGGTTTGCGAAATCAAACTAATGTATATAATAAAACTAGATTTTATACTTTTGTAAGGATATTAACTCTTAATTTGTATAAAGGAAAATGAAGGGAAGATCAAATCTTCCTTCATAACCATTATGAAAAACTAGCCCGTTTCACTATACCTTATCTTTTTTGGATATTATAAATATTTTTGAGTATTTAAAAAAATTATTATAAATTAATAGTATTAATTATTATTTAAGTCTATTTATTATTTTATAACATATAATTTAAACAACACTATTATTTGAAACAATTTTTTAATTGTGATTAAGGTAGTTTTATTGCCCAGCATTATGAGATCTGCCTATAAAAGGCAATGTTTGCCACAAGTTCAGTTAGAGCCTTAAGCCCTGTTTGGTAGTACAGAATCCTTAACATGAAAATGGAATTTGGGCAAGAATTCGGACAGAGTAGCGTTTGATATACATGAATTAGGATTCTTGGGAATCCTGATTTAATGAAAAAAGGCAGAATCAGATTCCATCATTCTATCTATGGAATTGAGCAAACTCCCTGGAATTCAATCTTTTCTCTCTTCTACCTTTCAACTCAGCCCATCGAATCTGCCTGAACATCATCTCTTTGTTGTTGGCAATGGTAAATGATGGAAGCACCATCGTGACTCGCAACCATCGCCTCCGCCTTTGCCACTCGCCATCACCATCACTTCCAACTTTTTGTGCCGTTGACATGCCATTTTATGAGTGTAAGAGGTTTGTTTTCTTGATCTGTAACTCCCTCTCCACTGTCTTCTTCCCCTTCTATTTTTTCTATCATGGGCTGCCGGAATCAATAAGTAGGAAAAGGATGACACTTCCAGCAATGGCGACGACAAGGCGACCACCAGTGATGACTACCTTTCATCGGCATTGGACGACAACGTCCTTCTCTACAACAGGCTTAGCATAAACCGCAATAGGTTCATTGTGATGCTCTTTTTCTTTCTCTCTCTACTGCACACAGGTTGACAGCTCCATCACCGACGATGAGCCACCTTTACTCTCCATCGACTCAAGGAGCTTCACACCACCATCACATGTTGACGACTCCATCATCCATGGACGACCTGCCTCCGACGACCTCTCTCTCTCTCTCTCTATTGCACACAAGTCAATGACTCCATAACTGGCGATGACCCTCGTTCTAGATCTTTGTCGACTTAAGGAGACTCACACCACTATCACAGGTTGACGACCCACCTCCTACGACCTCTCTCTCTCTCTCTCTCTCTCTCTCTCTGTGCGTGTGTGTGTAGGTGTTCTTAGTCTGGGCATGAATATCTAGCAATAGATGTTGTATGAGCTATGTCGTCGAGCACCGCTTCTTCGTCTAGGTGTGAATCTGGCAGTGTATAAGGTGGACAAGGAAGACAAAGTTGGTGGGGTCTGATCTGGCAAAAAAAGCGATGCAGAGGGAGTTTTTTTTTTATTCAGGGATATTTTAGTCTTTTAATATGTAGATATGCAGATTAAATATTAAATAATATAAGGATTCCATGTACATACCAAACACACATATGTAATCCAATTCTATTCTAATTCTAATTTCAATTCCAATTCTGATTCCGATTTCAATTCCATCAAAAACTCTTCCATCATACCAAACGAGGCCTTAGTACTCTCGGCCTTTCTTTCCTCTTCTAATTTATTATACAGTTACCTAAATATATTCTGTGAATTTCTGTAGTTCTGCGTCCCTACTTTTAGTAGAAAGAGTCTATTTAATCTTGGGGAGTTGCCGAGCGATTAACTCGGTGTGGCGAAATAACTCTTAAAGACAGTGTCCTTGGGCATGACTCAAACTGTGATTTTATCAGCTATTGCCAACAATCCTTGTTAGTAAGAAATTCAATTTCTAAAATAGGATTAGTGTAATATTGTAGAAAATATTTAAATAAATAATATAATATATCAGGGGTGTGTGCGTGTGTGTAAAATGAAGAGGATAAATGACTGAGGAAATGAAAAAACTAGGGACAGTAAATTTATGTTTATCTTCTATGAAACGAAATAATTGATGTTAAGGATATAAATGCTACGATGCATTGGAGAAAGAGAAAGAGAAAATATGGAGCACATAATTTTGGGCATAAAATATTAAATAAATATTGACCTAATAATTTTCGGGAAAACATAATTATAATTCCTTATAATTTTATTAAATTTTTCTTTCAGTCTTTATAGTGTTATTCCCAGTGCTTTCAGTTTTTATGAAGACAAAAAACACTAAAATACTAAAAATATAAGAACTTAAAAAATAAAAATCATCCAATCTTTCTAAAATTATATGAACTAAAACATTAAAAAAATTATAGGGAGTAAAAATAAAATTGAATGAAACTATAAGAACTGAAAATTGTGTTTTTCTATAATTTTACAATAAATCACCTTATTTGTTATATACTTAAATAAATTTATATATATGTAATTACAAACAAATAATTATAACGATGAAAGTATAGATAGCTTTGTTTTTTATTCCAGGGCATAGGCATAATTAACTGCGACAATCAAAACATATTCATATTATCTTTTTATTTCCTTGCCAGGTTTGAATTGTTAATAGCAAACTTGATAGTTAATTTGTAAAAATTATAAAAATTAATATTAAACGTGAACATCTAAATTAAGTCTAAACTGTCTAGAAAATAGATTTATTAAAAATTATATTTTTTTAAAATTTTTTATATTTTTTTATAAATTCTATTTTAGTAAGTATAAATTGAAAATGAAAATGAATAGATTTAAATATAAATTATCTGATTAAACTTATATGCTTTAGATCTCAATGACTTATTAGTGCTCATCCATAGAGCTAACAAAATACAGGCGGGCTAGACTCATATGAACCTGACTCTTATGGGTTCAGGCCCATGAGAATGATTTTTGTATGTTTGACTATTTTTTGAAGCCCAGTTTTCATAAAGGACTTAGGGATTGGCTTGTAAGAACAATTTTTTAAAAAACAATATTTTGAAAATAAAGTTTAACATTATAATATTACAAATTACTTAAAATTTTATAAAAATTAAAATAAATAAAACAAGTCTAAATTCTTAATTATATCACAATTACAAGTCAAGCTTTTTATAGGCTAATCACTAT